GATATTATAATTTAGAGACTTCATTAATACGTATGCTTTGTGTACATATACAAAGCGTATGCACAATGAATTAATCAGATTTATGCATTATCCATCACAATTATTTAATCCCATCTTGTCAACTGTAACCATTCAGCAGAGTGTATGGTGTATGGACACTCAGTAAATAGGCATTCAGTTCAATATTAGGCTAATCAAAGCATGACTTGGTAAATATTGTATTAAGAACGTTTTTTAGGGGTTAGAAAGCAGGAAATCCACATTAATTTGAAAACGGCCAATTCAGAATTTAGGATAGTTTTACTGGGGCAGATATTAGGGACACTACTTTGCTGAGAACTTGGCCTTAGAAATCACAATGTCTGGGTTCATATCCCTGTTCCATCAACTCTCTTAATTTTCTTTACCTATGCTATTAGGAAATAAGGCACCTCATTTGCTAGGTAGGATTCTTCTAGATATACCCTTTCATGACCAAATTATTTTCTGCTTTGAATTTTTTGTTGGAACCATGTGTTTTCAGTAAGGAAAGGCATTCTGAATGAAATGAAAAAAAAAGGTTTTGAGGTTATATGGCTTTTATACATCTAGTTGGACACATGTGTCCCGAGGGGTCTCTGGTACTGGAGTGGGTGGTCAGTTTCTTAAGATTTGCACAATTATACAGGCCCCCATCAGATGGCAGTATACACTAAAAGTGGGATAGTTTCCCAGTAAACCCCAGAAGCTTAAAATGTAGGTGGGCACTGAGTGACCATGGGTCATGAAAGGGTTAACGTTCTCTCTATTAAGTAAGCCAAAGATGATGGTATAGTACCTAAAGGCATTTGACTGCTAACCAGAAGGCTGGCAGTTCAAACCCACCAACCACTCCTCAGATGGAAGGTTGAGCATTCTATTTCCCTAGAGATGTTGTTGTTGTTATGTGCCGTCGAGTCAGACTTGACTCATAGCGACCCCTCCTTGGGTTTGCGAGGCAGTATCACTATGGAAGTAGATTGCTCCATCTTCCTTCCGAGGAGTGGCTGGTGGGTTTGAACCGCCAGCCTTCTGGTTAGCAGTCGAGTGCCTTAGGCACTATGCCTTGGAAACCCAAGGAGAGGTTGTTATGAGTCACAATTGACTCAACAGCAGTATTTGGTTGGTTGGTTTGGTAGCCTGCAGTGTGTAGTATTTTGTGTATTTAAACAATAAAACACTATTCCTTTTAAAATACATTAAACATTAGTGTTTTTTCCTTCAGTGAATTCTGAGTGAATGTAGTCAAAGTTAAATAATTTTTTTGTCTTACTATATTGTGTTTTGAGTTTTCCAAATAACTTTCTCTTAGGAATGATAGATGCAGGCTTAGGTGAACATTCCAAAGAAGGCCAACTCTTAAGAAAAATGCCTTATGGTAGGCGTGAAACAGTGATTTTTTTTTCTGCCCCTGATTTGACAGTCCTTCAAGTTATACCACCAGAATGGAGTATTTCTTTCTATAGTTCCTTCTTCCCTTTACTCTCATGGTCCCTGGAAAAGGCTCATGTTAGAGCTTTGTGACTGATTGGCTAATGAAAGGAAAACCTTAAGGTTCTTTATCAATACACACACACACACATTTTTTTTTTTTTTTAAATAGAATAATGACTTCAGTATTATTCATAGAACTTATCAAATACATACCACTGATACAATTCTCTCAAGGAGTTGTTCTTCCCATTAGTTTCCCTGCTCTCAGCTGGCAGGAATGAGTGCATGAGAAATTCTTATACAGTTGAATTGTAAGCCAGGAAGTGTTGCGAATTACTGATTTTGGTGCAAGAGTCTTTTTTTGGAGTCCGTGCCTTTTGTTTGTTTGTTTTAATAAAGACAGCTATCTAGAAGCATTTTAATAAGCTGCAGTAGAATATTGAGTTTATGGGGGGGGCAGGATTAAATGTCCTTTTCACATGTAAATTTGTAGTGTATAATTTTCTTAAATCCTTCCAGGAGGTAAGAGTAGGATGGAATCCATTAGTTCTGAGTTTGCTGGAGATAATCAGATGAGGTGTCCGGTGTCTCCTTCTCCTCCTCCCATCCCCACCCCCAATTATGGAGCAGTGATGTTGACTTTTTGTTTGAAGCATCATATCTGCTGGTCCATTCCCCCCATTCCCCCCCAATTAATTATTGGGATTTGGGTGAAAGTTTACAGAGCAAATTCATTTTTCATACAGCAGTTCATACACATTTTGTTTCCTAACATTGACTACAATTCCCCACAGTGTAACAGCTCTCTTTCCTCTTACTCCCTGTGGTTACTTCTTCCCTGTGTCCTCCTTTCCTATACATCTCCCCACAACCACCACCACACATGCTGCCTCCTGTACAAATACTGCCCTTCTGTTCTCCCATGATTGACTGTTCTAAGGAGTGTATTTACCTCGTATAAATGTTCTGTCCATATACCTGTCTGTTGTTTGTCTGGAGGCCATGGGAGTGAGTTCAATTCCAGGCCTGAAGGGTAACTAGGGGCCATAGTCTTGAGGGTCTCACCAGGCTCTATCAGACTGGTAAACCTGGTCTTTATGATTTTGAGTTTTATTCTACATTATTCTCCCACTCTACCCAGGATCTCCTGCACTGATCCCTTTGCAAGTGTGAACACCATAACCATATCTGTTCTGTATGACGTGGATGTCAGTTTATAAACAGAGAAGGCAGTATCCCTGTCAGTGGAACTCAAAATGAAGTTGGGGAGTAAGTTATCTCAGAGTGTCTTACCAGCCTGTTTACTCAGTAGTCTGTATTCATTCATGGGAAACATGAATGTTAGGCCATACGATATTTAAAGTTTTAATGATCTACAAGAATACGAAGTTTGGAATTAATTTTCTCCTAATTTAAATGGATTTTAGGACCCAGTATTTAAGAAATAATTGAAAAAAAATTGCTTAATTACATTTCCATAAAATATTTTCTAAACTGTTATTTACTAAACCTATTTTCTAAAAGTGTAGTTTCTCAATGCAGAAAACTCTAGGTATTCTAATTTTTTTTTAAGGAGCTTAAGAAAATTTGAGAAAATCTGATATTTGTAGAGATTAGCTGTACAAGAATATTGGTAAAGTCTTACTCAAAAATGATTCCTTAGAACTGGAAATTTGTCATTTGTATATATATGTAGGTGCTTCTGTTAAGAGCCCAGCACCAACTTAAAATAGCCCAAGAAACTCTCACTGGAAGAATGTAAAGAAAATTAGGGAGACTGAGATGTTACTGTTGAAAGTTTTCTGTTTAAAATGGTGCCTTTTTTTTTTTTTAATGCTTAAAACGTTTTTAATAATTACTTGATTTACGTTTATAAACAGGGTGCTTGGTTAGAAATGTTTTGCCAGTTGTTTCTGTTTTAAACCCTTGATTTTAAAGTGTTTGAGTGCTCCAGTTAATTGAATTCTTAGTGCAGGAAATTAACCAGAAATTCATTTTTATTTTGATGCATTACAGTGCATGGGTGGCTCTCTGATTTGGAATTTACAGTGCTTTGGTAGGGGAAGAAGGGAGGTCTCTGGTGGTGAAGATTAAGGCTATTCACACTGGACATCATCTATTGTCACTGAAATAGTGGGAATCTAAGTGTACAGTATCCAGGATGTACTCTAAAGAGTGATATGCAGTGTGATTATGATAAATACATTCTCAGTATTAGCTTATTTTCTTGGGATTAGTATTTTTGGAGTAATGTCGAAGAAAAAAATACTCACTGCTGTAGATTTGATTCCAACTTACAGTGACCCTTCCTTGGGTTTCTGAGGCACGGTATCTCTATGGAATTGGATTGCCCTCTCTTCCTTCCGAGGAGTGGCTGGTGGGTTTGAACTGACAGTCTTCTGTTTAGCAGTCAAATACCTTAGGCGCTATGCCACCAAAGGGACATGCAAAATAAACTTTGTGTTAATGGAGTATATTAAAGTTTTGGTTACAGAAAGTTGTTGAAGTGACTCTGCATCTCTGGAATCATATGTAACAGATTTTCTTAAAATGATTTAATACTTAAATGTTAATAATTTTTAAACAACTTTAAGAACAAGTTACATAAGTATTTGGATGTTATAGTCTTTTTAGTTTATTTAAAACCATAAGAAATTAGATTGGCTAGGTTTTTTAAAATTGTCTTATAATTCTTGGAATATTTGAAGGGAACAGCATTTTCACTGTCTTAGGTATCTTTTGTGGTACTTATAAGGACTGGTCTGGCTTTCAGAAGTTACTCTCTAATTTTATTTTTTTGGTGCTAAGTGTTTACAAAGTTTATTTAAAAGAAGACATGTGATACATAACAAAATATTTCTTGCCATAAAAGAAATACTATCTTCCTTGAACTTTATGCTCTATGTCTTGTGCATTAATACTTACCTTGTAGGCATTTTGAGAAAAACGAAAACTCATTTGATGAGTGTCTTTTGTTCTCTGGCATTAAGCCTTCGTCTATTTACCGCTCCTTCAACTTTACAAAATTGAGCTAGTACTTGGTGAAAAGGGCAGAGGGTTTCTCTAGCCACCCTTATGCCTTCAGTATTTGCTTATCGTATACCTATCCTACCTCTCCAGTGTCTCTCATTAGAAACGCTTCTGAAAGCTCAATTTGTCCACTTGTGGTTCATTTTATAATTGTGTTTATCTGATGCCATTGAATTTTGTTTTCTTAAAGGCAAAGCATGCCACTGTTACTGTGCTTTGGCATTGTGTCACATTTGAACTTGGTTATTTCGAGGGGCACACACCATACTGCTTTATGCCAGATCTCACATTAAAGTGTGGAGCCAGAAGTGTCACGTGTTTGTTCACATTGAAATAAAGAAACGACTTTGATTAATGCTGAAATGTTAACATTAGTGGTAGAACAATCAGTTACCTGATATTTCAGAGGCCATCTGTAAAGGATTTTTGCAGATACCCACTTGTGTGCTGAGTGCCCCTAATAACCAGGGTATGAGGGGGCATTGGGCACGTTAACTTAAAACTTTTTTCTTTTTTAGGTCCACAACTCTCAGGCCTGTTGCAGATCTCCAACTCCTGCTTTGTGTGACCCCCCAGCATGCTCTCTGCCGGTGGCATCACAGCCACCACAACATCTTTCTGAAGCCGGGAGAGGGCCTGTAGGGGTAAGGAGAATCCCGTTTTTAAAGCTATCGATATTTTATATCCCATAGGGTATAAAATAGGAATATTACCTCCCTCCCCAGAGTCCCTTTAAAAATGTGCTGTATTGTATGTGTTTTAAAAGGAGTTAAAAGTACATGCACAGAGGAAGCAAAATACGGGACTTACCTTACCCCTCTAGGACAGTTCCAGAAGTTAGTGGGGTTTGGTGGTAGGGTATTTTGGCACCAGCAGAGAGCATGCTGGGCTGCTGCAAGGAGCAGGAGCTGGCAATCAGCAGCGAGTATGGATGTTGGCAACTGAAATGGGGAAAAAAGGGGGTAAGTTTGAGTCCAAGTGTGGAATGTGCATTTTCCCAGGCTCATTGGGACTCATGGCTATAAACTATTTTGAGTGCTATCCTTTCAGGTGACATTCTGTAGCATATTGCTTGGAAGTAGTGAGGCTTTTCTGAAATGCTAGTTGGGGTATAGCTATATTTCTCACAGCTGTACCCTGGTAATTCCTCTGCTACCTGGTGATAATGTAGGGGAGAAAAGGGTGTGTGAGACACAGCCGAGTGAAATGGCTGTAGTGCTTTACCCTTTAGAACCCAAAGGCCTGGCATTAGTGATCCATATTGGTTATTTTTTTGTGAAAGCTGTGTATATATTTGCCTTCCTTTCCCTTCCTTTAGGAGGATTTAATGATAAAATTTTATTATGAGAACCAAGTGTATGTTATTCTGATCAACTGCTGAGTACCCAATACTGCCCTTAATCAGTAAAGTAGTCTAATCTTTTTGTGACTTCATTATTTTTTACTTTGAATTATTTATTGATGACATGCGTTTTCAGTAATGGAAGACATGCTGAAATGAAAGAAAACATTTTATTTTTTTGAGTAATATGGATTTTGATACAAGTGAATGCTGGTGGTAGGATTGTTGGGATGAGGCCCATTTCTTCAGATTCATGCAGTTATATAGGTCCCTGCCAGGTGCTGCAGCTTGTACTACAGCTGGGTTAGAAGCTTTCCAAGAAACCTGAGAGGCTGGGAGTATTGGTGGGTGATATATGTCCCACTGGTCACAAAAAGGTTAAGATCTGTCTCTGTCTTGTATGTAATCTGATTGTGGGGCTCAAACTCATTCTCAGGAAACAATTAAACAATAATACAAGGTAACAGCTATAACACATACACATACAGTTCAAGATACTGTCAGTATGTAATGAACTGTTAAATTGCAGTATAGAGATATTAATATTTTAGGCCAAAAAGAGAGAGAAAGCTCCAAATGATCTGTGGAGGCTTGAAAAGTTTTGTGACGATAGATAGGTTCTGAGTAGCTGATTTGTTTTGACAGACGAGGAAGATGTGGATAGACACAGTAGAGGAGACTTCCAGGTATACATGTCTACCTCTCTTTATAAGTAGCCTACATAATGGGACTGTTCAGTCTGAATATTGTGAGAAGATGACCCACAGGACGTCCATGAAGAGCTTAGGTTAGTGGGTCTGGGAAGGCAGACGTGGAGATATGAAATGGAGCTAGATCGTAGAGGAGCTCCAAAGTTGGACAAGGAGCTCTGGTAGCTTAGTGCCTAAGGCAGTTGACTGCTAACCAGAAGGCTGGTGGTTCAAACCCACCAGCCGCTCCTCGGAAGGAAAGTTGGGCAATCTACTTCCATAGTGATACTGCATCGGCAACCCAAGGAGGGGTCCGACTTGATGGCACATAACAACAACAACAACAACAACAAAGTTGGACAAGTGAAGATTTTATGTAGTAGGCAGTAGAAAGTCTTGTAGGCTCCCCATACACACACCTTTTTTTTTATTCTTTCTCTCCCAGGCAAGCGGATTCCTAGACCACTGCTTAGGAAGAGTCACTGGGTAGCAGCATGCAGTATGTAATAGGGAAAGAATGTGAATGTTCCAGTTAAGAGACAGGGCTGTTGTTGGGGTGTAAGATGAAGAGAACCAAGACCATGGAGACGGAATGTAAATAATTGTAAAAAAAAATTAGGAATAACTGTTACAACAACAGTATCATGTTTAGATAGTTGCCTGGTATAATTTGCCACTAATTAGATCAGAAAAAACGTTCACATTATGGGAGGCTTTGAATTCTTGAAATAATAGCTATTCACAATGGAAGATACAACCCAATGCAGGGGATAAAAGCTAGTTTTAATCTCTGGAGAGAGAGATTGACATTTTAAAGGACAAATTTGCACAGTCCTAACTCAAACAGTGCTACCTCCTTTTGAAACTTCAGCCTTTACCAGTTAACATCTTGTTTCCATATATATCCAAAAAAAGAGGAGAAGGTTTTTGTCTTCTAGGCTGATGTTTTCTTGTTTTACTCTCTAGTTAGTGTGGATGTCATTGTTAGACTGTTCGTTTGCCACAATACCCAGTAACCAGGATTTGCTGGGTGGGTTCCAGATTTTCCCATAATTACATTAATTTTTAGTAAACTTCTTATATTAGCATTAGTGATGACCAGTATTTATTTTTTGGCAACAACAATGTTTGTGTCCACTGGAGATTTAAATAAGTTTGGGATGGGTGGAACACATATGTCATCATATGTGGCTTTGAAAAGATTCTGTAATGAAACGGTAAATCTTTCAGTCAAGATGGTGCTGTAGAAAGCTAACTTTATTAATTGTTCTTTAAAGATGGTTTGTGCTGCCAGAGTCATTGTAGCTGGATCTGAATCAGATCCAGTTGGCAAACCTCCCCCATGTTGGAGTTCTTGTAAATTCTGCAGGCACACAGATCTAATACAGTGTAATGAGGGAGCTGCTGGGAGAAAAAATTGATTACAGGGTTGCAGACAATATCATTAATGTTCCTTGCTATGATATACCAGATGTCTTTCCTAATAGACTAGTTTTGTTAATTTAGTTTTTATAGGGTAGCACTGATTGCATCAAAATTTAGCTTTCTTTGTATATTCAGGTATATATTTGTGATATATTTCCATTCTAATGATGACATAAACTAATAGGCCTGCACTTTATAACTTATCTGTCAATGTTTAAAGTGTCCGTGCTAGAAAGGCAACAGTTTTGTTACTAGGAATCTGCTAGCTGGAATATTTTCCAGCAGAAAGTCTTGTACCCACTGGTAGTGCGAGGGTAACGAGTGGGGGAAGAGGCGAAGGAAACATCTAGTCTGGTCAGAGATAATTTTCCTTCAGCTACTGGCAGTATCAGGAGGTTTGCATAGACACTAAATGGCAGCATAACACACTTTCTATGCAAAGCATAGAAATGGTTGTACCATTTATAAAGGACTTAACATGCATGGTTATTTCTATAGGAACAGCTGTGGTGCTGTGGGCCCCATTCATGTTGACAACACTTATTCTTTTCTTTGCTAGGAGATCAAGGGCTAGTTATATTTAGTTATTAAGGGCTGTTATTCTTTCACCCATTATCTTTTGTATTTAAGACCTTCATTGAGTAGCTAACACACATAAATAAGATAGTATTGTACTAGTGGATTGGGCTATTTTATTTCAGGAAAGTTTTTTAACCTCTAATTTGATATATTTTTAGTGCATTACCCTTTACAGAATCTTTCTTTTCCCGTTTGATATTTTTTTTTGCTTAACATTAAAAGAAAAACACCCTACTACCATCAAGTCAATTCCGATTCATAGTGACCCGATAGGACTGGGTTGAAATTGCCCCATAAGGTTTCGAAGGTTATAAATCTTTATAGGAGCAGAATGCTTCTTCTTCTGTACCTGTGGAGCAGCTGGTGGGTTTGAACTGCCGACCTTTTGGTTAGCAGCTGAATGCTGGTTAAAGCCACTGTACCGCCAGAGCTTCTTTGTGTAATAGTGTTGTTATTATGTGCCATTGAGTTGTCTCTGACTCATAGCAACCCGTTCTTGGGTTTCTAAGGCAATGGAAATATATTGCCCAGCCTTCCTTCCGAGGAGTGGCTTCTGGTTAAAAACAAGCAAACCAAACTCAATGCCATCGAGGTGGCTCCGACTCATAGCAACCCCTTCTGGGTTTCTGAGGTGGTAAATCTTTACGGAAGTAGATTGCCCAGTCTTCCTTCCACTGAGGGGGTGGTGGGTTTGAACTGCCAACCTTCTGGTTAGTAGTCAAATGCCTTAGGCTCTCTGCCACCAGAGCTTCTTTAAGAAAATTTAACCCTTTCTAACCCTTAGTTTTCTTACTTGTAAAATGGGTATAATACTACCACTTACCTCAAAGGGTTGTTGCAAAGATTAATGAAATAATTCATTAAGTTGTTTAGTATAATACTTATCATATAACAAATAATCTTAAGCATTGTCTTTTAAATTAAACAAACATTGATTTGAAGTAATTTATTCTCCAAAACCAAAGTCACTGCCATTGAGTCAATTCCCACTCATAATGACCCCCATTGGGTTTCTGAGGCAGTAAATCTTTATGGAAGTAGATTGCCCAATCTTCCTTCTGTGGAGTGGCTGTTGGGTTTGAACTGCCATCCTTCTGGTTAGCAGCCAAATGCCTTAGGCACTACACCACCAGAGCTGTTGCTGTTGTTGTTAGGTGCGGTGGAGTCGTTTCTGACTCATAGCAACCCCATGCACAGCAGAACGAAACGCTGCCTGATCCTGCACCAGCTCCATGATCCCTGCTGTACTTGAGCCCATAATCGCAGCCACCTTGTCAGTCCATCTTGTTGAAGGCCTCCCCCTCTTTCATCAACCCTCCACCCTTCCAAGCATGACATCCTTCTCCAGGGAATGGTCCCTTCTGACACCATGACCAAAGTAGGTGAGACGAAGTCTGGCCATTCTCGCTTCCAAGGAGTGCATTTCGGGTGCACTTCCTCCAGGACTGAACTGTTAGTTCTTTTAACAATCCATGGTACTTTCAGCATTCTTCGCCAGCACCACAACCCAAGTATCACCAAAGCTAGATATTATTAATCTGAGGTCTGTAGGCTCCTATGTAGTCTCCTTGAATTTAAGAGTATCTGTGAAGTTCCTGAAATCGCTGGA